AGCCCAGAAGGAATTCTGGATGCAGTACATTCATGGCCAGTGGGGTTCTTCCTCTCTCCTGCAGGTCAACATGGTGGTGCTGGGCAAGTACCTGGGCATCCCCAAGCCTTTTGGCCCCCTCATCAATGGCCGCTGCTGCCTGGAGGAGAAGGTGCGCTCCCTGCTGGAGCCGCTGGGCCTGCACTGCGTCTTTATCGACGACTTCCTGTCTTACCACCAGTTGCTCGGGGAGATTCACTGCGGCACTAACGTGAGAAGAAAACCTTTCGGCTTTCGGTGGTGGAACTCAGTGCTCTGAGCCTGCCCGGCCACCGCCCTTGCTACCCTCTCGATGGGAGTGCCAGGGCAAGGGTGAGGGACACGAACCAGCCTCCGTCCTCCTGGGACCTGGAAACAAGCTGGCTACTGTGGTCAGCTGGACTCCAGGGCGACACCACACTTCTTGGTCTCTGGAGCGGTCTGTCCTGCCCAGGGTGACTACTGCCACTCTTCCCTCTCCTGTCCCCAGTCACAGCTCCCAGAGACCCAAGGTCGGCAGCTGAGCCTGTTAAAGGCGTGGCCTCTGCAGGTGCACCCCACTTTGAGTTGCTCCCCTCTCTTTGGACTCCTCTCTGGAGCCGGAGAAATGGCTTTGGGGCTGTTTTCGGAATGCCCGCCATGCCTGAACCCTGGGATGAGAGCACCATGGTTCCATATGACTCCTGGATTATGTAAAATGGAAAGGAAGATTTGGGACATCCTTTTTCTCAAGGGGACCCCAGGCCATGGCCGTCAAGCACCCTTCAGTTGTGTGTAGGCAAGCAAGGACACAAAAGCCCAGTGGCCAGGCCCCTTTCAAAAATGAAAGCGAGCTGGCACCTAAGCCCCTTTAACGCCCTGCTCCATCCACTCCGTCCTCAGGATGCTCGTTAGTTCTTGGGACAGCCTTTAATTAGGAGTCCTGCTACTTCCGTTTGGAAGACGCTGGGGGCTATAGGGAGGCCCTCAGAAGTCTACAAGCAGGGGACGGATTAGGGAGGGGAGGGCAGGAAGATCCAAACAGGAAGTCAAATGGGCTGTCCATCTTGGGGCAGGGAACCTGGAAGCCTGGGACTCCTGGGGCCTCGGAATCTGAAGGTTGCAGGCTGGTCCAGATGTGATGGGGGTGGGGCTCAAGATGTTAGGAGAGGGTGGGGCGGGCCATTAAGTTACATCTGGAGGTGGGGATTAATTTCCTCTAATAGTCTGTAATTACTCCCCAACCTGCTGCAGGCAGTGGGAGGGGAGGGCCAACACTCCCCCAGCAGCCCAGGACCCTGCACAACACTTGCGGTGCCCTAGTAAACCCACGGCAGGCCTGTGACCCCCTCCTGCGGTCGGAGAGACAGCTGCCCTGGAGGCTAATAGTACAGGGTGAGGTCACAGAGGCCTGTGTAGGCAAGCAGGCAGGCAGGCAGACCCAACTGCAGGGCATGGCTGGCAGACGGAGCTGCCTGCCCCCTTCCAATTCTGGTGAGGGAGTCACACCAGGCTGCCAGTCGCTGGATTCTGTCTTTGCATTTCTAGTAACTTCTGGTGCCACCCCAGGCTTGAGGCAGCTGTAGTTACTTTGTAGTCACTGGACATTCAGTTAGTAAAGTCTCCCACGGAACTGTTAGGGTGGACATGGCCAGGTAAGGATTGACTCCTCTCCCTCTAGAAGGTTCTGTGGAACTGGAACCCCATTTGTAGACTCCCGACATCAACATCCTCCTCTATAGTCATGACCCAGTTGGGGCTGAGCCATGGAGAAGAAGAAAAAAAGGAGGAGGAAGAGAAAGGTTGGGGGCAGGGCCTGGTCTCTGAGGGGGAGACCGCAGAGCCCTGGCGAACATGGGAGCGAGCCTTCAGAGCCTCATGGGGGGACTCTGGAGTTGCTGCCCGGGCTGTCTGGGGTCCTGGGTGAGTGGCCACCCTCTTTCTGAACAATAAAAAGATCGTGTGCATTCTATAAGTGGCTGTCTCATTTGTCCCTGGACTGACCGTGAGAGGAAAGCGAGGGACCCTGCTTCCCTGCCCTACGCGCCCTGCCACAAGTCTATGGGCTCAGCTTCAGCAGGCCACAGGAGGGCCCTGTCAGCTGAACAGCTTCCTGGGTGATTACCAGGCAGCAGATGATTCAAGAGAATGCTGGGCATATGCCCACGTCCACCCTGCAGTCAGTTTGAGATACTATCTGGGAGGAGGGACCTGCCTCTTCCTCTCTCCCCATTCTTTGGCTTTATCTTCATCTGTCTGGGAGGATGAAAAGAGGCAGGGAGGCCCTGGGTCCTGCTAGCAGAGGGGCATGATGTGCCGACAGTTCTGGGGCCAGGACATTGGCCAACGAGATTCTGTAGCCCTGATTCTCAGGCTGAGTTACCAGCCTTGATGGCTTGATTTCAGGAGCCTGGAACTACTACCATTTCTTTCCCATGGTGCACGCTTGCTATGACCTCAGACTGTACCCCTTGACACAGGTTTATTTTAACTATTTTTTTTTTTATTTTTCGAGACAGGGTTTCTCCGTAGCTTTTGGTTCCTGTCCTGGAACTAGCTCTTGTAGACCAGGCTGGCCTCGAACTCACAGAGATCCGCCTGCCTCTGCCTCCCGAGTGCTGGGATTAAAGGCGTGCGCCACCACCGCCCGGCTATTTTAACTATTTTTTTATGGACTAAGAAGCTGTCCACCAATCACTGACATCTAAAAGCCTGAATCAACCATGAGACTGTTTCTAAAGGTTGGGACTGGGCTAACAAGATGGCTCAGTGGGTAAAGGTACTCGATTTACCTGAGTGCGATTCCCAGGACCCACATGGTGGAAGGAGAGAACAGATTCCCATAAATGGGCCTGGGACCTCCATACATTCACTGTGGCATGCATATGGCCACACACTTAAAATAAATTAATACATGCACTATAATAAAATGCAGTTTAAAGACTGGCGCCAGCTGGATGAATTTGACGGCAGGGATTTACTTCCAAAGGGAGATGGAGACTCTGGGCATGAGACTCATCGCGTCCCTAGCGCAGTGTGTTAGCACCCATGCAGGGGGGTTCCCCACCCTTTCCACCCATTCCCCACAGTTAGGGAGACTTTCTCCAGAATTCTGGTGAAGCTGTCCTGGGTGCTGACTACTTTAGGGACTGCCCTTCCCAGATACTGCACTACCACAAGGGACTGTCACAGGTTCCAAATGTCATCCTCTGACTGGTGCAAATGGGAGACCCTGGGAAATAGATCCTGGTCCCTGCCCTGCCCTGGAGGGCAGCAGCCACAGGGAGGAGGGAAGGACGCTAGTCAGCAGTTCTGAGCTCCACAGCCATTATCTCTGCCAGAACAGTCGACTGGGTCACATTTTCTACACATGAGGAAACTGAGGTCCCGGATGAAGAGATGCAACCTCATCAGTACCTGATCCGAACGATCCCAAGACTTCTCTTCCCAGAGTCCTTGTTCTTGATATTCCAGACACCTCTCGGCCTCAGTTTCCCTACCTACAAGTGGGCCTCCTGCTCTGACATTTTTGACTCCTAATGATGACCGATATTCACTTCTGTGTCATTCACCCCCTTGGGAGGATTTGACCTCCACCAGCAATAGCAACAGTAGTCAGAAGAATGAGTGCAGATCCCTGTTAGACCTGCCACCATTGATTCCTCCAGCCTTGCTTACAGGGAAAAAGTGACGCTCAACCAGGAAGCCCCTGAGGCAGGGAGGAAGCCTAGTGCTGTCTTACAACTCAGGCTTCTAATTATGAAAGGCAGGGGACCAACAAGATGACCCGGCGGGTAAAGGTGCTCGCCAGTACGCATTACAGTCGGAGTTCTACCCTGGAATGCACACAGCGGAAGGAGAAAACCAACTCCTCCGGCCTTCACACACGCACTGTGGCACACGTGTGCACAGCCTCCTCCATAAATACATCAACGTAAAAATCATATATATATATGCATTAGTTATGATATGTTTAAAGAGAGAGTAAAACCAGGCCAGTGGGAGCTGGAGATACGGCTCAGTTGGTAGGGTGCCTGCCTAGCATGCGCAAATCTCTCGTTTTGATCCTGAGCACCAGATAAAACTGAGTAGAGCAGCACATGCCTATAATCCCAGCACTTGGGAAGTTGGGGATCAAAGTTCAAGACCATCTTCAGTCTCATAGTGAGTCTGGGGTATTGGAGACCTTGTCTTAAAAAAAAAAAAGAAGGAAGGAAGGAAAGAAAAGAAGGGAGGAAGGAAGGAAGGAAGGAAGGAAGGAAGGGAGAGAGAGAAAAGAAAAAAAGCCAGGAGGTGGTGGTGCACATCTTTAATCCCAGTCCTGGGGATGCAGAGGCAGGCGGATCTCTGAGTTCAAGGTCAGCCTGGTTTACAGAGTGAGTTCCAGGAGAAAACATATCTCAAAAAAAACAAATAAATAAAATAAAAAAAAATAAACAAATAAAATTTTTAAATTTTTTAAAAAGAAAAGAAAAAAAAGAAAGATGGGGAGGTGAGTGGGGGGGGGCGGGGTGGTGGAGAAGGAGGAAGTAGAGGAGGAAAAGGAGAGAGGACCAGCATTTCTCCCAGGCTTGCATGAAGAATCCCATTGCCTGCAGCAGGTTAAAAGAGGCCTGGGAACCTGCACTCTCAGCAATGTGGAGAAAGGAGAGACAACGGGACAGTGAAGGATCAGGGCAAAGAACTACCTGCCCTCCCCCTTCCCCATCCATCCAGACGTGCTGGCCAAGTGCCTGTGGGGACTTGCTTTCTTTCCAGGTAGAAATTAACTCTCTGGGTGCCCTGGGGTGGGAGCCATGGGTTCATATGCAAATGCAGGGCCCTTCCTGCCAATCCTGAAGAGGGGGTTGGCTATTTGTCCTCTGAGAAGAGGCTGGCCTTCTAGGACTAGAGCCAATGAGCTCGCACCGTGGGTTGGAGGGGTGGGGCTGGGTACTTTTAAGCCACAGCCAGGGGGACCTCTGGCTAGTGCTGGGTTTGGTGGCCAAAGCCCCCATCCTAGGCCGGCATGTCTCTGCAGAGGATTGTGCGTGTGTCGCTTGAACACCCTACCAGCGCCGTGTGTGTGGCAGGAGTTGAGACCATCGTGGACATCTATGGGTAAGAGACCCCGGAGGGTCTGGGGTTCTTCATATGAATCACTAGGAGCTGTATGGCTGTTCCTCAGGGCACAGGGTGGGCCTGGCTTAACCTTGGAACACCTGCCCACTGAGGAAGCTTGGGTCCTTGCTGTTGTCAGCCAGATTCTCAGTAGGGTTCTTGAACCAGGGAGGTGAGACCTGCAGAACTGAACTCCATCCAGGGCCTTAGAAGGGTCTGGGGCCATGGGCCCATTTCTCTCTTTGGGGGTGCTCGGGAGAGGCTGGGCAGCCTGTCTACAGCCCACAATTGTCCTACAGCTCCTGGGCTTATGGGTATGGGGAGAATTAAGTCATTTCTTAAAGGTCACATCATCACGTAGCACTTAAGGTGCTACGCTCCGTCCCCGGAGCTGGTCAGACTTCTCAAATGCCACCCTGACAAGAGCCCTTCGGTTTAACACCGTCTCACATGGTGCTGGTCACTAAGTGCCGGTGGAGGCACAGAGAGGGTAGCTCCGGTCACACAGTCACCAGGGAGCAAAGCTGGGCTTGAAGCCCACTGCAGACTTGCTGAAGACTTCACGTCCAGCTGCCCAGCCACGGCAGCACTGGGGCTTCAGATCCACCATCGCCAGCTCTTTGCCGCCTACGCACTGTGCCTGCTACGTGCCAGGCTGAGCCTTTACACTCCAGGGTGTTTGGGTAGTGGGTGTAGGAACGAGTCTGGCTTCTTAGGCTCTTGAGTCTCAGCTCTGAGACTGAGCTGGGGACAGATTCCAAGGATACTGGGATCATGGTGCCACCTCTCACCTCCCTGCCCCTTCTTGGACTTGACTTCTGCACTGGGACCCCAGAAAGTCCTTGTGAGATGATACCACACGCTGTAACACTGAGGGTCATGTTTGGCCTCCACTGACCAGGGGCCAGCAGTGCTCCAACCCTTTCTGGGTCAGCCAAAAATGTCTCTACTTATTGTCAGAAATGCCTCAGGGACCAAAGTTTCACACCCTTTGAGAACAAATGTCTAGAACTAAAAAGTGGCGTGAACTTGGTTGGAAGCAAAGAGGTTCCAGGTGTGGAGGATAGGGAGTGAGCTGCCAATCACAGGAAATAACCAAGTCTGGATGAACTGGGCACCAGGAGCTAAAGCCTAGCTGAGGGTAGGTGGGCTGTGGGCTGTGCAGAGGGGAGTCTGTGGCCTCCGAAGAATCAGGCAGGACAGGAGGGGGTGGATGCTGCCTGGCGCCATGACCAGCTCTGGGGCTGTGTGCCCATGGAAGTGACTCACTACCCAGCTGCCTTGTGCCCGGTGGGTAGATAAGTCTCCGGTTTGACCCGTCCAAGCTGGGGACGGCTCCTCCTCCTCCCCTCAGAGGTGCCTTCAAGGACGGGGGAGGGGCTGGGTGAGAGGCAGGAGGCTAAGGTTGTTAATGTGAATGAGATGGGCAATGGTGAGGACTCACCTGGAAGACTGGGGATGGGACAGCGTGGGTGGTGGCAGGGCTTCCAGGATGTCCGCTCACCCTGATGGCCAATCCCCCTGGGAAATGGCGTACCTTATTTATTCACACACTTAACGTGGCCTTTGAGTAATAGCCCATGCCCAAGCCTGGGGACTCTCAGAAGGGGACCTACCTGGGAGAGGAGTTCCAGCATAGGCCAGGCTGCTGTCCAGTGAAGGCTACAGAAGTATCTTGGAAGGGGAGTGAGACTGGACATCTTGGAGGGCTCTTCCCAAAGCCCTGGCCTGGCCTGTAAGCCAGGAGATGCAGGGTGGTGACTCAGCCCTGACTTTGGTCCTTCCCAGCCACCTCATCTTAGAACTTTCCCTGTGGACTCTGCTTCCAGCTCTGCAAAGTGGTGGGCACCAGGCTGTTAGTGGGTCGGTGATATAGTGGGCACCAACTTTACCCAGATAACCGAACTTAGCAGAGCCAAAGGGTATAGGGTGCTCTCACCACTTCATGGATGAGAAAAGAGAGACCCAGAGAGGTTAACTAACCTGTCCAAGGTCACACAGCCAGTTGGCAGAGAGGTAGGAGGCCGTGTGAACTGTTTGAACTGGTAGGAGGCGGGCATGGCTGGTATGTGGAATATAGAGTACCGAGCCAATGCTAGCGCGCACAAAACACTTTATTATCCTCTCTGTCACCATCCTTATCACCGCCATCTTTTTATGACTCTGTGCTGATCCTAGGGAAAGTTTCGGGTGTTCCCAAATCTGCCGTGTACCATCTGGCTAGGACACAGTAAGGGATGAAGGAATAGATGCAAGAGGAAACAGCATGGCTTGAGCAATCAGAGTGGGCTTCCTGGAGGAGGGGCCTGAAGGCTGAGGCAGGATAGAGAAGGCTCAGCAGAGCTTGACTGGCCACATGAGAGGCATCCAGGAGCAGTTCCTGAGCAGCCAGGGAAGGGAAGCGAGACTCTGGGCCTCATCTGTTCCTCTAGGCAACTTGAGGTGTTGATTCACGTCCATTTCCCACGTGCATGGTGAGGCTCGGGCACAAGGCTGGCCCATTCTATGCTGTGAGGTGCAGGAGCCTCCCGAGGCTCTCACAAGGACCCTCCTCAGGGCTGAGGAGTGAGGCTGAAACTTCAGCCTTGGAGGCAGAGAAAGAAAGGCTGCCTCACACTGGGAAGAAGGAGGTTCTGGAACAGCTAGTGGCTTACTGGGGCCACAGTCGCAGGCTGTAATGAGGCGGGGAGACAGGCTGAAAGCCACCGTCAACCATTCATCTACCATGTGACTCACTTCTGGGTGTCTGTCCCCTGGAGCTGCTCATGGGACCGCTTGTCTGGGAAGCTGTCATCTTTATGACATGTCACATATGAGTGTGGAAAGCAGTCCCCAAGCTGGCCCAGTGGCAGCCTCTGGGGCTCACCCATCCCTTCTTCTAAACAGGGAAACTGAGGCCTGGTGGGTGAGAGAACTTACCCAGGTATAGGGAAATGAGCTGAGATAGAAACCAGGCCTTGAGACCCAAACAGCTCACAACAACTGTGGTGGCAAGGTACTGTGGGGTGATGGGACCTGAGGGCCCCATGCGTGTATGTTCAGGGAGAGAGGCGGGGCTGGTCTGCACACCTGCAGTGGGGCAGTAGCCACAGGTGCCTCTTGGCCTCTCCTGAACCTGCCCAGGCGCCTTGACCTTCAGGTAGATCTCAGTCACTTTTGAGCAAGCCCCAGAAGCAGCTCTTGGGAAAGCCAGAGGGTGGGGAATGAACCATGAGTGAGATCCACTAGGAATGTCTCTGTCAACGGGAAGCCGCCCTAGGCTTCCCCGAGAAAGCTGTTCTCTGCGAGCAAGTGTCTTAAGTTACCACACCTGGTGATGAGGTGGCACCCCCCCTCCTCTCAGCAGCAGAGTGTCTCACCCCCCGCTGAATCTTTGAGTCATGTGGGACATCTAAAAAGTACTGCTGGACCGGGCGGTGATGGAGCACACCTTTAATCCCAGAACTCAGGAGGTAAAGGCAAGAGATTGAGAACTCAAGGTCCTCCTTGGCTCCATAAATTCAAGACCAATGTGTGTGGCTGGGGTGCCTTGCAGTGGAAAAGCACATCTTTCTGTGCTTGAAGTTCCGGGTTTCAGCACCAGCACCTCCCCATCCCCACACCCCAGTTGCAGTTTGGGTCTCTTCATACACAAATGGAGAAGTTGGCCCTGCTCGTTTGTTGAGCGACTTGGACGCTGCTCCCCTAGGCGGGAGAGCAGACAGCTCATGGCACTGATGAGCTGCCCAGTGGTGCCAGGAAGGAGCCCTGTGTCATCCTGAACCACTGGCTCCTCCTCCCTGAGCCTCAGTTTCCTGGAAGACACCAGAAAGGGTTGTCTTAGTAAGTGCCTTTTGGGGCTGGAGAGATGGCTCCAAGGTTAAGAGCACTGACCTCTTCCAGAGTTCTGAGTCCAATTCCCAGCAACCACATGGTGGCTCACAACCATCTATGATAGGATCTCATACTCTTTTCTGGCCTGCAGGCAATGCAGGCAGAACACTGTATATATAATGAATAAATAAATCATCCTTTTTTAAAAAGAAAATAAAAATAAGAAAGAAAAAATTCCTTTTGAGCTCTTCTCTGAGGCCTCAGAGCCTCCTGGACCAACAGCGCAGACTCCTCTGTCCACGCGCAGGCTCCGCTGTCTGCTGCAGGCTCCTCTGTCCACGTGCAGACACCTCTGTCCACATGCAGGCTCCTCTGTCCACGTGTAGGCTCCTCTGTCCACGCATAGGCTCCTCTGTCCATGTGTAGGCTCCTCTGTCCACACATAGGCTCCTCTGTCCACACATAGGCTCCTCTGTCCATGTGTAGGCTCCTCTGTCCACGTGTAGGCTCCTCTGTCCACACATAGGCTCCTCTGTCCACTGCAGGCTCTCCTGTCCATGTGCAAACACCTCTGTTCACGCGCAGGCTCCTCTGTCCATGTGCAGGCTCCTCTGTCCACACACAGGCTCCTCTGTCCGCTGCAGGCTCCTCTGTCCACACACAGACACCTCTGTCCACGTGCAGGCTCCTCTGTCCATGCGCAGACACCTCTGTCCACGTGCAGGCTCCTCTGTCCACGTGCAGGCTCCTCTGTCCACGTGTAGGCTCCTCTGTCCACCACAGGCTCCTCTGTCCACGCACAGGCTCCTCTGTCCACGTGCAGGCTCCTCTGTCCACGCACAGGCTCCTCTGTCCACCACAGGCTCCTCTGTCCACACACAGGCTCTTCTGTCCACCACAGGCTCCTCTGTCCACGCACAGACACCTCTGTCCACGCGCAGGCTCCTCTGTCCACGCACAGGCTCCTCTGTCCACCACAGGCTCCTCTGTCCACGTGCAGGCTCTAATATAGGAGCTCAGAGCACTCAACAAGAAGCGAGTCAGGAGTCTCAGAGCCATTCAGTCTTTGGAGAAGGGTCAGTGTGGCCACCACTGCCCAGGACCAGATCAGGGTGGGGTCAGGATGTGGGGTCAGATGGGCCCAGAGTTTCCTGGGCCTAGTTCTATGAACAAATCTGGCAGGGTAGGGGGATCTGGGGCCCTTATTAATTGAAACTGCCACTCTGAGCCTGTGTTGTTTGAACTGTGGTCTCTAACCCCACGGGCCAGTGCTGAGGAGACTGCGTCTGTTTTTTCCTGTTTTAAACACCAGAGTCTCTCATTAGCAGTTTTGTTCTGGAGGCCAGAACCTTAGCCAGAGGGGACGGCATCAGGTCAGCTTTACCTGGGCTTGAGGACAGGACAGCTAAGCCACAGAACGAGGAGTTGTCAACAACTGCTTGACTCTGGACAAGTCACCCGTGAGCCTCAGTTTCCCCAAAGCAAGATGGTAGCATGCAGCTTCATTTATCAAAGTAACCAGTGTTATCCTTACGGTGGGCAGGGGACAAGAGCACAGAGGAAGAGCTGGCTGAGGGTTCCCAGGATGGGGCAGTCTCGCCCCAAATCATCCTCATGCCAGCGTTTCCAGACAGTCCCTTTGCCACGAGGCTCAGGCATCAGTAGCCATCAGAAGGGCTTGCTGACCAGGTCTCTGCAGCACCCTGGCACTGGGAGTTTTGTCCATGAGGTTCCAGGACTGCCACCTGTAGGATAAATGAGCTGTCCCCATTTTCAAGAACTGCCCAGGGTGGTTTTTCTGTTTGTTTTTATTTTTTTGGCTTTTCAAGACAGGGTTTCTCTGTAGCTTTGGAGCCTGTCCTGGAACTAGCTCTTGTAGAACAGGCTGGCCTCAAACTCACAGAGATCCCCCTGCCTCTGCTTCCTGAGTGCTGGGATTAAAGGCACACGCCACCCCGGCCCAACTCTGCCCAGTTTTTTTTTAAATATATATTATTTTTTTTTAAATATTTATTTATTTATTATGTATACAATATTCTGTCTGTGTGTATGTCTGCAGGCCAGAAGAGGGCACCAGACCTCATTACAGATGGTTGTGAGCCACCATGTGGTTGCCGGGAATTGAACTCAGGACCTTTGGAAGAGCAGGCAATGCTCTTAACCACTGAGCCATCTCTCCAGCCGCCTTAAATATATATTATTACCTTTGTTTTTTATTCATTTGTGTGGGGGACAGAACACATGGTGTAGGTGGAGGTCAGAGGACAATGTTCAGGAAGAGTCGCTTCTCTCTAGCATGTAGGCAAGGGATCAAACTCAGGTCATTGATCTTGGTGGGAAGCACCTTACCTGTGGAGCCAGCTCACCAGCCCCTGCCTAGGTGTTAGCCTTGGATGTTCCATGTCCCTGGAAACATACCTTAGTTCCTGCAAGGCTGGTCACCTCGCCGTGTGCATGGCCACACTCAGGTGACCTGGGAGGACTGTGAACGAACTCACTCGGGCTAGGAGAAATGGCCTACAGTCATCTGGAAGCTGTGGGATTTGCCTCGCTGTCTGTCATGGAGGCCTGGCCCAAGGAAGAGTGTTGCCCAAGAGAGGTTCCAGGCACTTCCTAACTTCTGGAAAAAGGCATCTGCTCACTGGCCCAGGTTCTCCTTCCTTCCGGTAGCCACCTTGGCCATCCCAACACACAGCTTCCATGCTGGGGCGTCAACCCTGGATGGGGTCTGAAGTCTTATCTTTGGCCTGGCTCAGTTTCCCTGGCACTAAAATAAGATTATGTGTTGAGGGATATTTGATGACATTCTGAAACTCTGAGACCATGTTAGTAAAATTAACCTTGGATCAGGGGGAAGAGCCAGTGATTAGTTAACAAGAATTGGTCATAGAGAGGCTGAAGGACCCAGGAATATGGATAGAGAGTCTCACAGGAAGAAGTAGGGAGGGGCTTAGAGATTCTCAGTCTTTTTTTGGTTTGGGATGGGTGGAGAGATGCTCTCTTGCTGGGTCTCTGGTCAAAAAGGAAGGTCAGGTGGTTGCTTCTCAGCCTCTCTGATCTAGCAGGTTTTCACCCCCACATCTGACTCCTGGATCTTTATTGGTGAATAGAACAATAGCAACTTAGTTAAAAAAAAAAAAAAACTACATTTGGTGTCTTTGGCTGAGTCAGCGCCAAGGACTGGAAATCCCGCTAGGCGGGTGCAGAAGGGAGTTATACTAGATTCAGGAGCTGCCGCTAAGTCGATAGAGAAACAACAGTTCTGACTTTTGTTCTGACTGCTTTACAGCCATGCCCACTCCTTATACCCTCTTGTCATCCCAGCTGGATAGAGTGGGCTGCTGAGGAGGCCGCATCCTATCCTCCAGGTGTGAGCACTGAGCTGGGATTTGAACCCCGGCTTCCTGACTGCAGGGAGCCCTGGTTTAATCACCTTGCCTCACCACCCCTCTCAAGAATGGCTAAAGCGGGAATCAGTCCAACACAGTCTAACGTTGGCCTCCCGAGGCTCCAGCGTGAAGGAAGCCCCCTTTTCCTCAGCCGCATCTCAAATCACCTCAGCTCACTCTCGGAGCTGTCTCCATCCTCCTCAGCCTGCTCCGTAATTCATCTTAATAGCCCCATCTTTATCCTGGGCAGGGATGTTCCAAGCTTCTCATGGCTATTAATACACTTGAGCCTCCTGATTTCCCAGGAGGGTGGCCAAGTGCGTGTCATTATCCCACTCTCTAGGTGACTAGTCAAGGTCACCTGGCTGAAATGGGACCCTGAGATCGCCAACTACTGCTGATTATGACCTTGGCACTGCCTAGTATTCTGCCGAGGCTGCAGTGTGTGCCGGCGGCTGCAGCCACCACCTTTGTGTGTCCCTCCCAGCCAAACTGTCTCCAGCTTCCCTAGGGACTCCCAGTAACTGACAGGGTGGCCTAGGGAAGAGCCCTGGGGTGCTGAGCTGAAGAGACTGGGGCCTCCGAGCCAAAGGACTTCACATCAGGAAGGTGTCAAGGCACCTTAGCCCTTTCTTTGGACACAAGACCAAGCCTGGTGGTGGGCCCCGCTGTAGAAATCTGAACAGCTGCCTGGATTACTGGAAGCCAGCTGCCTCTGAGAATGGGGTGCTCCCTGGGGTGCAAGAGAGCACTTCCTCCTTGGCTCAAGTGACTAGCTATGTTTTTGTTTTTTGTTTCTTTGTTTGTGGGTTGTTTTTTTTTTTTTTTGCTGGTTTATTTATTTATTTTGGAGATTTGAGACAGGGTCTCACTATGTAGTTCTGGCTGTCCTGGAACTAGCTCTGTAGACCAGTCTGGTCTCAAATTTGCAGAGGTCCACCTGTCTGCCACCTGAGTACTGGGATTAAAGATGTGCACCACTGTGCCCAATTCATGTCTGTCTGATTCCTCCATCTCTCTGAGTCTTTCTGCTGTGTGTGTGTGTGTGTATGCATGTGTGTGAGTGTGAATAGTGTGTGTATGTGAGTGAGTGTGGTGTGTGTGTGTGTGTGTGTGTGTGTATGTGTATGTGTGTGTGTGTGTATGATCACCAGCCCCAAATGAGCCGGATGGTGGTGAGGTATTGGATCTCAACACTTAGGCACAGGAGTGTGCATGAGTTTGTGTGGTTCCTACCTGGGCTTTACTGCCCAGACTTTGCTGTGAGCGGCCTGTGAAAGGCTTCCCTGGGGGAGGGCATGAGGCTGGAGCTCACATGTTTGTGCGAGTTCTTGTCACATTGCCCATGGATCCCCCACTCTTCTCAGGGCGGTTCCTGAGGGCACAGCCATGTTTGAGGTCTACGGGACACCCGGCGTGGACATCTACGTGTCTCCCAGCATGACGAGGAGCCGAGAAAGAGCCGAAACCAGGCGGTGGTGCTTCAACGAGGGGCTGGAGATCATCGTGGTCATGAACTCCCCTAGCAATCACCTCAATGACAGTCATGTGAGCTCACCCCCAGCCCTGCACCCCTTCTTTCTGTAGAGTGCCACAGCTCCAAGGTGGAGTACTCAACCTGAGGGTCACATTGCTGGGTGTGAATATCAGTTCTGCAATTTACCAGTCCAGACTTCACACCTCCATGTGTCTATCTGTAGTGTGGGTCCACTCCAGTCCTGCTCCCAGGGTGGGTGGGGATGGATCCTGTGTGTCTTTTCCTGCTTAACCAGCCCCGTGAGGGGAGGAGTTAGCGAAGCCCTGCTGTGTTGGACCTCAGTTTCAGGGGGATTCTGCTATTCTGGATAGAGGAGAGAGTGGGGATGAAAGGAAACTGGTACCCAGGAGCTCACAGTCCCTGATGGGTCTCACCCCCCTCCCACCCTCTTCCTGTCCCCATTCAAAAGGTAGGAGAGATTTAAAACAGAAGAAATGAGTGGCTCTTGAGCTGGTGGCTGCTGATATTCCCTTGAATGACTGATTGAGACCAGGGAGACATTCCTGCAAGGGCAGTGTTTTGGGGGAGCTAGCCCTTTAAGGATCACTGACCTTTTCTAAGCCCTGGATAGCCCATATGTCATGGGCTGGCCCCCTCCCCTATATGGGACACCAAGTAGCTCTCAAGGGGCCCATTGAGATAGGGAACAGAAGGATTCCCACACATCTGGCTGCCTCCCTGACTTTTCTTCCCATTTGCCCCTCAGAATGTGGCTTCTGCCCTAGGCTCAATGAACCCATTTTTCAGAGAAAGAAATAAAGGCTGAGGAGTGTGGTTTCTCTAATGTCTTAAGTCCTAGTGAGTATCCAAGTTGGTGAGGACCACAGAGTCCTTGGGGCTGGGCCACAGGACCTGCCAGGCTGCGGAGGCCCCACCTGGTGCTTTGCAGGTTGAGGCTGTGTGGGGTACTCCTGAATTCTGGGGTTCATGGGCCAGTAGGCATGAGGAAGGTGCTCCTCTCCTCCCCACCTGTGAGTAACTGGCGCAGAATTTTGGGACTCCCAGGCTGAGGGTCCTGACACTATGACCCAGATGAAGGATGTGTCTGCAGGGCATGTCCCAGGGAGAACAGGTCAAAAGGTCAGTGACAGAGCTGCCACCACCAGCTTCCCAAAATGGTCACCTCCATCCTTACTCTTTATAGCAGCTGGAAGCTGAACCCGGGCCAGCTGTGATGAACCCCCACATTCTCTGCCCCTTTAATCCACCTGACTGTAACCCATTCTATGGGGTAGAAACCATCATTATCCCCCACTTTATGGTTGAGGAAATTGAGGCCCAGAGAAGGTCAGAAACTGACCCAGGAGAGTCACGATGGGCAAATATGAGATCTGAAACCAGGCCACACGGTAGAGCCCATGGGCAGTTTGCTTCCGTGACCAGTGAGTGATAAACACGGTCAGGTCAAATGTGGGGCTCTTGAGTTTTATCACCTGCAAAATGGGGGCCCATGCAGGTCCCAACTTCAAAGGATCTCCAGTTCTGGTCAGAAAGGGTGGGGAAACTGAGGCAGCTCAGATAGGCATCGTAAGTTGGCCGAGAGATGCTGGACTCGAGTCCAGGTACTTGTTGGTAAAAGTAGAACCCAGGACAGATGGTGCCCACTTTACAGACATGCCAAGGGATAAATGACCTAAGGACTTAAAGAGGAGCTGGCACAGTGTCAGAGGTAGCAGAGGGTCCTACCCCTGCCCACCAAGTCCCATGGGCCCCTCTGTAAGACATATATGTAACACTGAGCATGTCTCTCTGCAGGTTCAGATAGCCTACCACTCCAGCCGTGAGCAGTTGCCCCTGGCCTATGCGGTACTCTACCTCACCTGTGTGGGTAAGCTGGGCAGGTCTGAGGGTGTGGCCAGGGAGCCCTGTGAGGTCTGCTGATGATCTTCATTTTTATTTTTATTTAATTTATTTATTTATTTATTTTGGTTTTTCAAGACAAGGTTTCTCTGTAGCTTTGAGCCTGTCCTGGAACTAGCTCTTGTAGACCAGGCTGGCCTCGAACTCACAGAGATCCGCCTGCCTCTGCTTCCCAGGTGCTGGGATTAAAGGTGTACGCCACCACTGCCCAACTTTTATTTAAAAAAAAAAAGTGATTAGAAGCTCTTATAGTAGAATACCCTCCAGGCCTTTGCAAACACTTGGGTTTGGTCCCAGGGACATTTGTAGGCACGCGCACACACACACAGAGCAAGTGGGTTTTTTTTTTTTAATTTTTTAAATTGAAAAAGAAAGCACACATTAGAAAATTCAAACATAGGAGATGAAGGGCCAAGGGAGATAGGTAAATCGCTTGCTGAACAAGTGTGAGGAACTGAGCTAGAATCTGCAGCACCCAGATAAAAGCAGAGCATGCTGGTCTGTGCTTGTAATCCCAGCATTGGGACCAGAAACAAGAGAACCCTAGAGCCTTGCTGGGTAACCAGGCTCGCAATCATTGAGCTCCAGGTTCAGCGAGAGATCCTGCCTTAAAATGGAGGGGCTGGACAGATGCTCAGAGGTTAAGAACATTGGCTACTCTTCCAGAGATCCCGAGTTCATCTCCCAGCAAGCACAGGGTAGCTTAAACCATCTATAGTGAGATCTGGTGCCCTCTTCTGGCGTGCAGGCAATGCAACCAGAACGCTGTATACATTAATAATAATAATAATTAATATTTTTAAAAAGATAAGATGGAAGCCAGGTATGATGGCACAAGCCTTTAATCCCACCACTGGGAGGCAGAAGTAGGCAGATCTCCTTGAGTTCCAGGCTAGACTGATCTACATAACAAGTTCTAGGCTAGCCAGAGCTAACATAGTGAGACCCTGTTTCAAAAACAAAACCAAAAATCACCACAGGCACCCAACTGTGCACATCAGTCACTGAGGTCGGGTTGGGAATATGGTCAGCCCCCAGAGCCACCCCGACCCAGTGACTCTTATACTGTCTTCTGCTGTGATCCCTTTATCTTCTATACGGCTTATAGCCAAGCACAGGTAGCAAAGCAAGGTAGGCTGTCTGATTTCTGTAGCTGGAATCCCTCCGCATCTGTTCTTCTGTGTGGGGCTGCTTCTACCCGCTTAATGGCGGTGAGATTCCCCCATTCTCATCGCCATGATTGGTGAATAAGATCCCCCGAGTTCTCTTGGGCTCTCTCCCTCTGTCTCTCTCTGTCTCTCTCTCTTTCACACACACACACACACACACACACACACACACACACACACTGTCTCCTTGTAAGCACTGCACTATTAGCACCTTAAGAACCTTCTGGTTTCCAGAGAGGAAGACTGAAAATGGCCTGGAGTGGGGGGAGAGGCGATGCCAAGGCAGCGTTCCCCAGGCTGTGTAGAGAGGTGGCCAAGCCCAGCTTCACACCCGTGTCCTTCTGACACCAAAATCCGAGCTCACTGCTCCATCCAGAGGAGCTGAAGTAGTTTCATGTAGAGGGAGACTGTCCCCAGCCACCTGGGCTCAGTGCTACTGTGCCCCTCCACACAGCAAGGGTTCTGGGGCTTCAGAATGTGTTACCTTCGAGGAAACCTTCCTGCAGGGGCAGTCTTTGGTCCATTCTTTTCTATGACCCTCCTTCCTCCCCAAAACCCCTTCCCTTGTCCAAGGATGGGACACTCCAAGGCCCCAACCTGTGGGTATCTCCTGGGGCCCTCATCTACCTGGCCCCAGATGTCTAGCATGGGGACTCACCTGCTGCTGCCTCCCGACAGACATCACCCTGGACTGTGACATGAATTGTGATGGCCGGCAGGACAGGAGCTTCGTGGATAAGGTAGGCTTCTGATTGAGCCTCAGAACCGGGGGCAGCAGGTATGGAGTTCCTGGGCTCCAGGTCAGAGGGACAAGGCCATATGAGTGTCCCCCTTCCTCCTAGTTGACTCAAGGTTGAGGTAGCCAGACAAGGACCAGGCATGGCTGGAGTTATCAGCAAATGTAACCATAATATGATGTTCCCAATCCTGGGCTATCCTTGATTGATGAGGAGAAAGTTCTAGGTTTATAAAATAGGTCAAGAGTTATAAAACCAGATAGACAGACAAACAGACAGACAGAAGCCTTGCCAGGAGGGGGTGGTGCACACCTTTGATCCCAGAGCTCAAGGGGTGGAGGTAGGTGGATCTCAGTGTTCGAGGCCAGCTAGGTCTACAGAGCAAGTTCCAGGACAGCCAGGGCTATTCAGAGAAACACTATTCAGCACGCCCCCCCCCGAAAAAACTAACTAAATAAATACAAGTCAGATTGTAAATCTTCAGGCCTTGTGACCTATACTATGAAAAAGCCAGTTAATGCATAGGGTAATCATGGACTGTGTTCTGATAATATTTTATTGACAAAAATAGGCACTTGAGCTTGTAGGAGGATGAGAGAAGAGTCAAGAAGTTACCCATGCTGGGCGGTGGTGGCACACACCTTTAATCCCAGCACTCGGGAAGCAGAGGCAGGCAGATCTCTGTGAGTCCGAAGCCAGCCTGGTCTATAAGAACTAGTTCCAGGGGCTGGAGAGACAGCTCAGAGGTTAAGAGCACTGACTGCTCTTCCAGAGGTCCTGAGTTCAATTCCCAGCAACCACATGGTGGCTCACAACCATCTGTAAATGAGATCTGGTGCCCTCTTCTGGCCAGCAAGCATACAGACAGACAGAACACTGTATACATAATAAATAAATAAATAAATAAATAAATAAATCTTTTAAAAAAAAACTAGTTACAGGACAGACTCCAAAGCTACAGAGAAATCCTGTTTCAAAAAACTTTTAAGGGGCTGGAGAGATGGCTCAGTGGTTAAGAGCACTGACTGCTCTTCCAGAGGTCCTGAGTTCAATTCCCAGCACCCACATGGCAGCTCACAACTGTCTGAAGATCAGTTTCAGGGAATCTGACACTTCACACCAATGCACATAAAATAAAGTTAAATAAACCATAAAAAAAAACTTTTAAGGGGCTGGAAAGATGGCTTGGTGGTTAAGAGCATTGCCTGCTCTTCCAAAGGTCCTGTGTTCAATTCCCAGCAATCACATGGTGGCTCACAACCATCTGTAATGAGGTCTGGTGCCCTCTTCTGGCCTGCAGACATACACACAGGCAGAATATTGTATATATAATAAATAAATAAATATAAAAAAGTTACTCATAAAGAAAGAAGGTCATGGAGAACAGAAGTGCTCCTCACAATCGGCCATGATGACAGCCTTGTAGATTGGACTTAATAATGTTTACGAAGCAGTGGTTGCTTTGATGAAAGTGTACTTCTCACAGGATAGAGTGGAGGACCAGGAGGCCGGCCGGAAGTACAGAGTAGGAGGCCTGCCCTGGTCTGACTGGAGTCCCTGTTGCCAGCTGTGTTTTCTCATTGACAGAGGCAATGGGTGTGGGGGCCTGATGGGTATGGAGCCATCTTGCTGGTGAACTGTGATCGGGATGATGTGGGCTGTAATGCCCAAGATAACTGTGACCAACATGTGAGCTGCCTGCAAGGTGAGTGTCCTGGGGCAGCCCAGTCTCTGGGTACCCAGGGTTCCTCCTCAGTTCCCCCACAGGCATCCCTTCCCCCAGGAGGGGCTCTGAAGGTGGACAGGGGAGGGTCAGAGTTCACCATGAGATTCTTCAGAACACAGCCAGGCTATCCTCATCGCAGTCCCCAGTACTTGTGGCACTCATGCTGGGGCACCCAGTATTCTCCTCCTGTAGGAGAGAAGGGGCTGCTGGCATTGTTTGAGTACCTACTGTGTGCAAGGCCCTTCCCCCAGATCTTTCTTTAATCTTCCAAGGGGGTGAGTGTCATTACCCCAGTTTAAAGAGGAGAGGGCTGAGGCTCACAGGTTAGAAGGGTCCTGCAAATTGCACATCCAGCCCATGGGCTGCCAACCCCATGTCCAGACCCCTTCCCACTGGATCTCTGACTTGTGTTGGAGTGTGATCCTGTGTTATGCTCATAGGAGCTGCCTTCTAAAGGAGGCATCCCCTGGAGATGGAAAGGGGATGGCTTGCCCAGTAAGATGCCCAGGTGGCCTTCAACTCTGCTCTGGGCATATGAGGATATGTGGATCACAAAGAGGACACGAAGCAGGGCAGTGTCCCATGTGCACAGATGCACAGACACCTCTTTCGCTCACACTAGCAGATTCTAGTATCTCCCTGAGCTGAGACTGGGGTCCCCAGCTCTGGACACCCAGTGCCCTTTGGAGCAGTTGTCAGTCAGCTCCCTCTGTCTTACTTCACAGATCTGGAAGACATGTCCCTCATGGTGCTACGGACCCAGGGACCTGAGGCCCTCTTTGATGACCACAAACTTATCCTCCATACCTCCGGCTGTGATGCGGAGCGGTCACGGGTCTTCCACGTGTGTGGTAAGTGCATCCTGGGCACCCAGCCAACCACTTCAGGCAGATGTGCATCTCAGCTCAGGTTCCAGTGATGCCCTGGTAGCAGAGCAATCAGACGTGTGGGTTGGTGTGTGTGTGTGTGTGTCTGTACATACGTGCAGTGTGGATCCCAAAGGACAGCCTCGCGCATCATTCCTCATGTCCTGTTCGTTTTTGAGTCAGAGCCCCTCACCAGCTTTTTAAACATGAGTTTTGGGCACAGGACTTGGGTGGGTTCTCTTGCTTGTACATCGAGCAACTTTACAGATTGAGCCATCGCCCTTGCAGCCTGCAGCCTGCAGAACGGGCTTCTCTACTGGACCCCTGAAGTGGAGGTTTTTGGTTGGTTGGTTTCATTTGGTTTGGTGTTGGTGAAAGGATTTTTCTGTGTAGCCTTCACTGTCCTGGAATTTGCTCTGTAGATCGCGCTGGCCTCGTTGAACTTAGAGGTCCTCCTCCTCTGCCTCTGGAGTGCCGGGGTTAAAGGCGTGCGCCGCCACCACCCGGTTGAAGTGGAGCTTCTTAGTGAGATTTGCACTTATGTATTTTTAGATTCATTTCTATTTATGTACATGGGGGGCGGGTATTACACACATGTGCCCATGCTCAGGGAGGCCAGGAGAGGGCATCAGATTCTCTGGAGCTGGAGTTACAGGTGGTTGTGAGCTTTCCAGTATGGGTGCAGGGAACCGAACCCCGAGTCCTCTGCAAGCACAGCAAACACTCTTTAAGCACTGAGCTGTCTCTCCAACCCCTGTCTGCATGTTCTTGTAGGAAAGATAGCAAGAGGCAGCATGCTGGGTTAGGGTACATTACCTTGTCTCTTAGAAAAGAGCGTCCTTCCCCACCAAGCCTTCTTTTCTCTTTCTCTGGGGGTAGGAGAGGAAGGGCTCCTTTGAAAGGCCGTTTGCTTGCACCTAGGCGAGACTGCTCAACTCTCCTGAGACCTTCACATTCCCTGAGCAGCCCAAGAGCCAATGCTCTTCTCCTAGGTCCCGAGGATTCCTGCGAGTCCTATAGGTGTGTTCTGGGCCCGAACCACGTGTCCTACGAGGTACCCCGCCTCAACGGCGATGAGGAGCGCTTCTTTGTGGAGGGCCTCTCCTTCCCTGATGCGGGTTTTCCGGGGCTCATCTCCTTCCATGTCACCCTGCTGGATGACTCCAATGAGGTAAGGGTGGCCCAGCAGAGGGCGAGATGAAGGTTCCTGGCAGATGTGGACATCACTGGAGCTAAAGGTCTTATGCCCCTTCAATATCTTACTGGTCAATCCTCTGGAGAGTCAAGGAACATTTGTTTGTTTTGAGACAGGGTCTCTTATAGCCCAGTCTTAAGCTCATGCTAACCAAGGATGACCTTGAACTTCTAACCCGGCTGTCTACACTTCCTGAGTGGTTGCATTTTGGGAATACACTGCCATGCTCCTCTCTTAGGCAATGGTAGGGATAGATCCCACGACTTGGATGCTGGACAAGCACTCCTCCCTCCAGAGGAGCCACATCTAAAGCCCTAGCCAGGGGATTTCTTGAGGACCCTAGAGGAGGGGCTTCAGAGAACCTGTAGTCTCCTCTGGCTACCAGACACTTGAGTCCAGCACTCTCTGTCTTGGTCCTCCTGTGAAGGACTTCTCCGAGACCCCAATCTTCACTGATACTGTGGTGTTCCGGGTGGCGCCCTGGATCATGACACCCAGCACCCTGCCGCCCCTGGAGGTGTACGTGTGCCGGTAAGTCTGGGTGGAGTCCTAGCCTTGGAGTCAGCTCTGTTCCTGAGCCCCAGCTCTGAGTTCCTCCTTCCTCCCGGATCGCTCACAGGGTGAGAAATAACACGTGCTTCGTGGAAGCCGTGGAGGAGTTGGCCAGGAAGGCAGGCTGCAAACTCACCATCTGTCCGCAGGAGGAGAATCGGAATGACCGCTGGATCCAGGTAACAGCGTCACAGGCTGCCCCGCTAGGATAGCATCCTACAAGGAAATACCCAAGAGGATCCAGGATTCTCTGGCTCCAGACATAGAGTCCTAGTTCCAAAAGTTCTCCGACAGGCAGGCCTCTAGGTAAGGTGGCAGAGGCCACACACTCCCAGCCCACAACGGCTGAGCTGAGAGGCAGTTTGCCCTTCAAGGGGACATTAGGTACCATCTGGAGACATTGTGGTTGTTGCATGGGGTGGAGGAGAGGGACCAGCCTTTAGCACCTAGAATCCCATCCTGTCACTAAAAACTCCACTGCCAAGGTAAGCCCCACAGGGAACAGTCTGGTCCAACATGTCAGCTGCAGTGGGCTGGGAAGCCCCGCTGTGGTAAATGACTGTTTCAGAATCCCTAGAGTCCAGGATATAAGGGGTACCAGAGTGCCAGAGGGGACTGGAGGAAGCTTTATTGTTTCTTCTGGGAAAATAATGGATTGGAGGTGGGCTCCAAGGAGCAGGGCTTCTGATGGAGAGCCATGGGGGAGGATCCTCCGAGGAAAAAAGAAACAGAAGGGAGGGGCCAGGGGCGGGGCTTCTGGTGGAGGGCCATGAGGGAGGATCCTCCAAGGAAAAGCCCAGGAGGGAGGGTCCAGTGAAGGAGCCTCTGTGTGAGCTGGACTGGGACTGTGGGGAATGTACGCGGTTGGCCTTTTCCCCAGGCACTTTCCCCTCAGGCCCTGCATAGCGTCATTTCCTCTTCTCTGGCTTCTTGTAATCACACCTGGGTGTTTGCCGATGAGCTCATGCCGCGAACACCCGGCCCCTGTGCTGACAAAGGCTGGGACTTGGATCATCAGGTGGGATGGGATCCGGAGGTCCTGACAGAGGACTAGCATGTGCCAAGACCCAGAGGCAGGAGACTGAACCTCATTTGCTCCCTGGGCCAGGGCAGTGGTTCTGGGAAGGGACAAGCTCTGCGGTTTAGTCTTGTGTGTTGAACTTGGGCCATGCTGCGTCTCCCTCTGTGCCCAGCCCCAGCACCGGCACACCCCGAAGTCTGGTTTCTCATTTATTCCTATGTGACTCTCATAGGCAACCCAGCCCCTACCCCCTTCACTTTGCTGGTTCCCCCACCTCAAAGAGCAGAGAACAGCCCACACCTAGGAGCTGCCCTCCCCAAGAGCTCAGTAACCAGCACTTGGGGATGCTGCTGACTGTCACAGCTATGGCCTCTCTCCCATCTGCAGGATGAGATGGAGCTGGGCTACGTGCAGGCGCCTCACAAGACTTTGCCCGTGGTCTTTGATTCCCCGAGGAATGGGGAGCTGCAGGGTTTTCCTTACAAAAGAATCCTGGTGAGTGGGAGGGGGGCATTGCAGCCCTAGGGACTGAGAAGACACATCCCCAGGGACACCCAGGGTATACAGGGAACCTGGTCTGTAGGAAGGACAGCTGGCCAGTTACTGTCTGAAAGAGGGCCGGTGACATTTGTAAAGAGGCAATTAAGTTTGGTGTAAGCCTATCCCACACTTATATGGGATAGACGTACACTAAAGTGCACATTTATCTCTGCTTCTCATGTGATAGAGTGCTAGGTGTTTTTCTTTGCTGATCAGCCGGGGCGGGGGGGTTGTACCTCAGGCAAAGCTTTGTGTCATCCACATGCTGTGTGATATTGTCAGACTTAGGTCCCTCTCAGAGCCTCTATTTCCTCAGTGGCAGGAACAGCTTCGCAAGCGACTGTCATCATCATGGTGATAGCTGTCTACCAGGAAGGTTCTGTCTGTTCAGGGTACACAGTCTGTGGTCTGTGACTGGCAGAAAGACACCAGCCTGACAGGCCCACCACAGACCTGGCAATTGAATACTTCCCAACTTGGGCCCCCTTGCACAAGTAACATACAACCAGACCTCCCATTTCTGACTCAGTATTTCCACCTGAAGAATGGGAGCTCACTCCCACCCCATCTTTTAGGGACTCAGAGCCCGTCACATGCAGGCTCTTCCTGGCACTCTGCCCCTGCCTGACTCAGTTTTCCCTACCAGGGTCTAGATTTCGGCTATGTGACTCGGGAACCGCGAGACAACTCCGTGAGTGGCCTGGACTCCTTTGGCAACCTGGAGGTCAGCCCGCCCGTGGTGGCCAATGGGAAGGAGTACCCCTTGGGGAGGATCCTCATTGGGGGCAACCTGCCTGGGTGAGAGGCTCCGGCTGGAATTGGTGTTGGTGGGGGTGGAGAACGGGGATGTCCTGGGTGGGGTGGGCCACTCTGCAGACTGCCTGCACTTACCCTGGGAAGTCAGATAGTCCCTTCGGAGCAGGCCAGAGTGAGCAGGGACCTAAGATGTCATTAACTCAAGTCAACCCTTCCCTCTATAAGGGGCCCAGAGAGATCGAGTCTGTCTCTCTCTCTCTCTCTCTCTCTCTCTCTCTCTCTCTCACACACACACACACACACACACCACATTCTGGTTAGACTGAAGTCTCTGTGACATAAATATGTGGTAACATGTAAGGTAGCAGCTGGTAGCATAGAGAAAAACAGCATTTAAGTTAAACCTTGTTCATAAGATGGTGGAAATGACAAACGGTGGGTCTTTTTCTGGAGCAGGAGAGGCATTAAGTAAAATGTGAGTTGAGATGACAGTAGCCCTAATGTACACACACACATGCACACACACGCACGCACGCACACATGTACACATGGTGTATTCTGCACGCGATACAGGTTGATGATGGAGAAGGAGATAATAGTCACAGTCAGTCAAGCAAAGCCACTAGAACAGATGACATCACATAATGGATGAATCCTGAGTCAGGCTAGAGAGAAGACAATGAGACCTCTCTGTAGTAATTTTTCCAGAAGGCAAAAGAAGGATGGATTGTAAATGCTTGCACAGAAAGTTCTAGGATGATGAGACCCGCTGGGACGGCCCTGTTGACCTCTCCCGCTGACATTCAGGGAAACTGAGGCTGCCAGAGAAGTGTAAACTAACCCCACTATGTGAGAACCAAGACAAGAGTAGGGATGGCGTGACTCAGTGTCCTGGAGAACGTAGTTCTGAGGACCCCTCACGTGGCTAGCCTGTGCTAAGTGTGGTTGCCAGAACCCACCCTGCGTGGAATATTAAAACATGCCTTATTGTCTTTCCTGCTTATAAAGTAATATGTTGTTTTGACATTAAAGTCTTGCTGTGTAGCTCAGGCTGGCCTGGAACCCACTATCTATCCTGGGCTAACTTTGAACTTGCAAGCCTCCTGCCTCAACTTCTCAAATGCTAGAATGTTAGGTCTGTGCCACTATGCCTGGGAGCACATTTTGGAGTAAGATACTGGGGAGAGCTGCCATCTGGCCATTCTGTTTCTTCCCGAGTATGTGTTTATTCTGGCATCTTTTCCTAACCCTGGCCCAGGTCAAGAGGCCGCAGAGTCACCCAGGTAGTGCGAAACTTCCTCCATGCCCAGAAGGTGCAACCCCTGGTGGAGCTCTTTGTGGACTGGCTGGCTGTGGGCCACGTGGATGAGTTTCTGAGCTTTGTCCCTGCCCCAGACAGGAAGGTAAGGACTGTGGACACGTCTTGGCAGCCTTGAGAGTTTGGGGCTGGGGCTGGGCTGGAGCTGGTGGGTACATAAGGCCATGAATTCAGCTGTACCTGCTCTTTACACACAGGGCTTCCGGCTCCTCCTGGCCAGCCCCGCTGCCTGCTTCAGGCTGTTCCAGGAAAAACAGAAGTGGGGCCATGGCAGGTCCCTCCTTTTTGAGGGGGTCATTGGTGAGTAAAGACGTCAAGTCCCCCCAAAGCAGCATTGTCTCTCTCTCCTGAATTGAGCACCCCATGATTTCAGAAAGGAATGAGCATTTTAAAGCCAAGTGGTACCCCCAAAATTCAGGAATGTTTCCTCATGACGACACTGCCTGCGTGGGGGCAGGGCTAAGGTGGGCACAGGGCAGAGGGTATGGAGAAGAAGGTGAGGGCCAGGTGTGCCCAGGGATGTCCCATCATGCCTCCCCTTAGAAGGTCGCAGAGCCCAGGTTTCGCGCTCTTTGGTCACTGGTTTGATTTTAAATGAAGTCTAACAGGTCTGCAAAGCTGCTGGTGCCCCAGAGCCTCCACCAGTGGCCTCTGTCTCTCGGAGGAGCTCTCTGCTGCTCTCTACCCTGCTTCTGAAGCCCCAGCTACCATGCCTTCTTTCCCTGGTCATCATGGAATGGAGTTGTGCCCTCACCTGCAACAAGGCCTGGGTTTGGGGGGTGGGGAGGATGACCCACAGCCTGGCATCTACTGCCCTTGCCCTTCAGGGGCAGCCGAAGGGCACCTTGGTGGGAGGAGCCCCTTGCCGGCGCATCTTTGCCAGGAGGCTGTGGCAGTCTGGCCACCTCCAGTGGTGGCTGCTTGAGGTGGTGAGCCTGTGGCAAGGGAGGTGCCTGGCTCAGTGAGTCACCCCATGCCAGCGGAGTGTGTCTCTCATGCAACCACATCAGAGCCAGGCCTCAGGGTTGTGAAGGGCCACACTGCCCCCACAGATACCCTGTCAATTAGCAAATTTTGGACACTATGATGAGTCAAGAGAGACTGTGGAAGGAGTGTTTTCTACTCTCGTGTGTTTAGCGAGGCTTTTCCTCACCCTGTTTTTGAATGAGGAGCCTGTGCTCTCATTATTCAAAATGGAGCAGTTTAGATGGGCAGGACCGGCTGGACTGTAGCAGGGCATGGTGCAGGCCTGGAACCCCAGCATCGGGATGGAGTCAGGGTAAGTCAGGTGTGAGGCTAGCCTGTGCTACCTAGTGAGACCCTGGCTCAGTAAACCAAAAACAAATAAAATCAAAGAAAGCTCTTTTGGGCACTAAAGTCCTACATTTTCTCGGCCACGTGGGAGGTAGAGAATATCCTGGACCAAATCTGCTTCCAAGAGCCCTGCTCGGTTTGTTAGGTCTCCCTGCTCCGAGCACAGCATTGGGGCCCAGAAAATAAAACAGCGACTGTGTTCCCTAAGCCATTGCTCCACAGGGACCCTAGTGAGACTTCTCTGAACCCAAATTCAATCTTAAAAACAAAACAAAACAAACGAACAAAAAAACCTAGCTAGGCAGTGGTGGCACATGCCTTTAATCCCAGCACCTGGGAGACAGAGGCAGGCGGATCTCTGAGTTTGAGGCCAGCCTGGTCTACAAGAGCTAGTTCCAGGACAGGCTCTAAAGCTACAGAGAATCATTGTCTTGAAAAACCAAAAAACAAACAAACAAAAACCAAAAAATACCCTGAACAGTAGGTAGACCAGAGTTAGTCCAACCTGCCCAGATGGGAAGATAAGCCATATGCAGCAGCCACACCCCCCAACTACAGACACACCAGGCCAGGCTGCTGTGGCTTATTCAGAGCCCCAGGAGTGTCAGGCCTAGGTTTGGGGTATCACAGACATTATCCCGATGATCCTGACAGGCCCCAAGGGTGGGGTGGGGTGGGGCGGGGCGCTGAGTGGGATCTGCTGTTAGTTGAGGCTCAGAGGGAGGAGGTGCTGGCCCCAGGGCCTCACAAAAGATGCCACAGAGCTGGCATGTAATAAGACTGTCTGCCTCCAGGTGGCGACATGGGACCTACAGCTATGTGTGTAGGTCAGAGGAGCCCTCTTCTGCCCCTCAAAACCCTCGGATGCTCATGGCTGGCATCCCTAGTTTTCCCAGGTTAAACGAGGGTTTAGAAGTCCCTTAGGAGCACCTGGCTCCCAGGGCCCCCAAGCCCTTATTATAGGACCTTAGGTAAGTCACCTGAGCACCTGGAGCCTCAGTTCCCTTGTCAGTCAGGTGGCAGTAATGACGCATCCCTTGCAGAGTACAGGGGAATGAGGCACTGAACACAGAGGAGCTTCCTTTCAGCCTCACGATCAGGGTTTGGTAAGCTGGCAGCTGGGGGTGCTGCAAACTCTGCTCCCCTGACCAGTTCTGTCTCCATGGCCTCCACTGGGCGGGCAGAAAGCTAGGCCCAAAGTCGCTCCTAAAAAGCAAGCCAAAACCTGTTGGTTTGGACTCCTAGCCTGTTGGGACTGGCTGGTTCACTGCCTAGAGAACCCATAAACCCCAGCCCTGGGGTGAGGGCCAGCAACAGAGCCAGCTTCTTCCCCAGGAGCTGGAGGAAGAAGAACCACTACCGGGTGCCCAGGTTAGTCCCAATTAGTCATTACCACCTTCAATGAACTCAAGTAAAACTCTGCAGTTCGTTACCCCCAGCAACCAGACTCCTCCAATGCCTCTTCACCCTCCAGATGTGCCGATTGGCTAGGCTAAGCTCTTGCAAATGCTGCCCACCCCTTGTTCAGGAGACTCGAGGAGCCGTTGACTCAAGCATACCAGCAGCTATGTACTTGGCCTCTGGTCTCCAGAGCGGGAGGCCCTCATACTGCCTTGCGCTAGAACCCCCAGGCCTCTTTGTCTCTTTCGTAGGCGACAGGCGGGTCAAGACCATCTCCATCAATCAGGTGCTTTCCAACCAGAACCTTATCAACTTTAATAAGTTTGCACAGGTATAAAGGCCATGGGGCTGTAGGTGGAATGTGGGTGTGGACAGGACTGGAGTCAGAGCCAAGGCAGACATCTGGGACCCACAGTTCACAAAAGGTCAGTCAGGTTGAAACAGGCCCGGACCCTCCTTTAACCTGGGGGAAATACAGCCCTGTGCATCTGAGAAATACAGGCAGGGCCATGAGCACCCAGAGCTATAAGCAATGAGAAAGATACAGCTCAACTCCCAGGAAAAATGTCAGCGTCTACAGCAAGTATGGCCTGTTATATGGTCACAAGTTGGGACCGTGTGAAGACACAGTGAAGAGGCTAGGATAAGTCAGTGAGCAAAGGCAGTGCAACCTACTCAGCCAGAGGGCAGCCTTCAAGGCGCGCGGGGGGGGGGGGGGGCAGTGAAGGTGGCAAGAAGGGGGCAGATGGAGACAGATGGAGTGGACTGAAAGAAAAGGAAACATGAGAATAACAGCAAGGCTTGTGGCCCCAAGAGCCCAGTGTAGGGTGGCCTGGGGATCTGATGTCCTCTTCTGGCCTCCAAGGGTACTGCATCCAGGCGCACACACACACACACACACACACACACACACACACACACACACTTAAAGACAACAGAAATCTTAAACCATGTATTGAATGAGATCGCCTAAGCTGGGGTCTAGGATGGAGTGTTCTCAGTGTTTGCTCAAACAGAAGAACAGGACGTGGGAGGGAGGGATCTAGGCTGGTGGGCACTTGCACACCTGCCTCAGCCACACTGGCGAGGTCTCTCCAGTTTGGTCCCTTACCAACCCGCAGAGCTGTATTGACTGGAACCGCGAGGTGCTGAAGAGGGAGCTGGGCCTCTCTGACTGTGACATCATTGATATCCCACAGCTTTTCAAGACAGAGAGGAGGAAGGCTGTGGCTTTCTTCCCCGACTTGGTGAGTTCCCCACCTGGGCATCCTCGGATGAGCTCCAAGACCCAGTTCTAGGGGAAGACATTCGATTGCCTTCATGAGTGGAACTGTGGTGAGCAACAGGTGGTGATGAGGAGAATCAGGGTCCCAGGATGCCCAGGCTGACATTGTGGCTTCCTGTGGCCGCCCATGAAGGATGAGGCCTAGTTCACATCTATGGCATGAGGAAAAGCTACACAGAATCATGTGTGCAGGCACATGACTTTACCCAGGAGCTGAGGGGTCATGCCCAATTCGGCTGACATCACCCCACACAGAAGCAGATGTCCCATGGGGAACATGGTTAAGAGATGGTTAAGAGTTGTCTCTGTCCTCCATTGAGGGGAAACTCTCCTCACTACTCTGAGGGCATCTACCAACCACCTACTCTGTATGGTGAAGGGTTAAGTGGTCAGACCACAAATGAGACAAAGTGCAACCACTCTGAGATATGAGTGGAGATACCAGAGGTATTCCTGGAAACATGCCTTTGATGGAACTGTAGCCTTGGCTCTGCTGTCTCTGAGCCTTGAGTGTGCATCTCAAACCCCCAACGCCTAAAGTCCCCCTCAAATGTCCTGATTAAGCAGATCTGATGAAGGCTCAGAGAGTGTGTCTGCCTTCTAACACACCTCCAGGGGACAAACTGCTAACCCGGGGCACAAGCTGGGCTCTTATACACAAGTCTCAAAGCCTGTATCCATTAACCCTAACGTAACCTAACTCTAACCCTAACCGTAACTCCAAACAAACACTAACCCTACCAAAACATTAAACAATAACCCAGCCCTAACCCCAACCCTAACCCAAACTGTAACCCAAACCATAACCCTAACACTAACCCTAACCCAACCCTAGCTTTAACCCTAACCCAAACCGTAACCCCAACCTCAACCCTAGCCCAACCCTAGCCTTAACCCTAACCAACCCAGCCCTAACCCTGACCCAGTCCTCTTTTCCGTCCCTCCCTGGCTTTTTGCCCTTGCTTGCAACGCCTTTCTCCGCTCCCCTTCCTTCCTGCATGCTTGGGGAGGCCTTGTTATTAATCCACGTGTTCCCGGAAGCTTGTGCAAGGGTTGAGGTTCTTGTGTTGGCTAGAAGCAGAGGCCCACCCAAGCTGGCTCCAATGGATATTTGACACAAGGACACTATGACATCTGAGGGTGGGGACGGTGACAGGAAGCCCTCAGCGTGGCCTCTCGTTTCTGTGTCCACATCACTGCTTCTGCTTGTTTCCCCGTCGCTGCTCCTCTCTCCGCTGCTCTGCAGGCAGACACGAACATCTTTGTTCCTTTGCTGTCGTTGTGATAAAACACCGTGACCAAGGCGATGTAGAGAAGACAACATTTAATGGGGGCTTACAGTTTTAGAGGGGGAATCCCTGGCCTTCACGACAAGGCACAAGACAGCAGGCAGACAGGCATGGCACTGGAGCAGCAACTGACAGCTTACATCTGATCCATGAGTGCAAGGCAGATAGAGTTAACTGGGAATGGCGTGGGCTTTTGGAACCCGCCCCGGGACTGTATTTCTTAATTCTTCCCAAATAGAGCTGCTAGCTGGGGACCAGGCCTTCATATAGATGAGGCTATGGGGGCCATTCTCATTCAAACCACCACGATGAACATGGCCATGAGATGCAGGACCTGTCTAGGCAAAGACTGAGACTCTCCCCATGTCAACTCTAACTTTCTGGGAGAGAGAATCTGATTGGCTCTTCTTGGTTAGCTGTTTAACTTAGTCCAACAGAGATAGCCTAGGAGGTAGGGGGTTCTGTTGTGCAAACGTGACAGCCACCACAGTTCACCAACGAGGAAGGGAGTGGCTGGGGACATCGCAGGGCTGGGCTCTGCAGATCCTTCTGTGGGTTTTGGATTCATTGGCTCTCTCCAGCCCCCACCACACAGCAATGAGAGAGCAGATAAGTTCAAGGCTGCATGGAGATAACCCCAGGCTCTCCTGGGGCTTCCAGGGTGGGAAGATGATGTTGAAGTCTCACCTTTGATCTGGGACCACTCTGGCTCCGCAGGTGAACATGCTGGTGCTGGGCAAGCACCTGGGCATCCCCAAGCCCTTCGGGCCCATCATCAATGGCCGCTGCTGCCTGGAGGAGAAGGTGCGCTCCCTGCTGGAGCCGCTGGGCCTCCACTGCACCTTCATCGATGACTTCACGCCTTACCACATGCTGCACGGGGAGGTTCACTGTGGCACCAATGTGCGCCGGGAGCCCTTCGCCTTCAAGTGGTGGCACATGGTGCCCTGAGCCACTGCCCATTCCCCATCCTTCCCCTGGGATGGGGCATCCGCCCAGGCCGTGGAGACTGAGACAGACCCCTGAGCAACAAGCACCAAGAGACTCTCAGTTTCTAGAACGGAATGCCCAGGGTGCCCCATTCCCCGCAGAAGCCTTTCCTCTTGAAGCGCCTGCATTTATCTGCAGCCCGTTCAGTTCCCAGGCATGAGTCCTCTTGGTGCCCCCCAAAGAAAGGCCTTGTGTTAATGGACTCTCATGTAGACCAACATGACCATGGGACGCTCCTAAGTACCATTTACACACAGCCCCAAACTTCTCTGTGGGTAAATTCACTTGAGGGTCTGGAAGGATGGGTACATTATCTCATCAGCCACTCGGCTTGTGCTTCCTATGATGGAAGGCCCCGGGGATTTTGTTCCAGCTGATAGCCTCCACCCTATAAGGGATGGTTGTGAAGTCATAAGCAAGAGAGAATCTACCCACCCCACCCCCTAGGCAGTACCTGGGGGTCCATTTAGGGTCAAAGTGTAACCATCATTCCCACTGCAAGTTCCTACCCAGGACCCGCCTCTGTCCCACCCAGCTTGAGCTGTCACAGTGGGTGCCTCTGTGAGCCTGTTGTCACACAGTGGGTGCCTGTAGATGCTTTAGGAATGGCAGGTATCACTTTTTAGCTTAACACGCTCCCCATCATCCGATGTTTGAGAACCTGGCTGTCCAAATCCTCTGGGAGATGAAGTGATTGGAGGGCTATTGAAGCTTAGGAAGACTGGCTTCTAGGTGAAGAACATCTTTCCTAAGACACGGATTGACTGTGGTGGTCCCACCGTCTGGAGGGGGATGGTCAACTGGCCTGGGGGCTCTGTACAGGAGAAGAGATCACTGACACCTTCTGCCTATACCCCCATCCTGCAGGAGAGCCCCAGGGAGCTCCACCCCAGAGGCCACCAAGGCAGGACTCATTGGGACAGCTGAACCTCTCCACATACAGGGAGAGAGGAGGGGCTTGGCTGTCTCGAGATGTGTGGGTCCAGCCGGCCAATAAATCAGCAGAAGCGCAAATGCCCTGGGTCTCATCTCGGCCTTTCTTTGGAGATTAAATTGAGGGGGTTCCGTGCAGCTGAGGCATTTGCATGCCTGGCTACTCCTCTGGAATTTGACGCTCGATAACCCCCAATGTGGGTAACATGGTGAGATGCTTTGTCTGGGCTACAGGATGACTGGGAGCTCAGGAGCACCTCAATGACACAGATGAAACAGATCAAGCCTAAGGGTGGGATGCCGGACTCAGGGACTGAGCAAGCTGCCAGGGACCAGGGCCACTGTGCCTGGGACTGGAGGCCACTTTGATGGGGCAGGAGTTTGAGTGCTTGGAAGTGCCAGTTGCAAAGGGACAAAGACACAACTCCACATGGGCACCTACAATAGCCTAAAGAATCCCCCTAGATTTTAAGGATCAAACTGGGATCCGTGGCTTTGGTGCAGGTCGGAATTTCAGAAGTAGACAGTGTAAAGGGGAGTTTGAGGTTTTATCAAAGATAACCTTAAAACACAAGGTGCGGAGAAACGGGGGGGGGGGGCCTCAGAAAGGCGCCCCAAGGCTGAGGAAATGGCTCCACAGTTTAAGAGTGCTTGCTGCTATCCCAGAGGACCAGAGTTGAACTCACAGCGCCTCCCTATCCCCCGCTCCCCATCTAGTAACTCTGGCTCCAGGGGTTCTGCAGCGCACAACGCCTGTCTGTGCTCTATGCACTACCATACAGTTCGTGTGAGCTTCGGGCAAGGGGCTGGAGGTTGAAACATACAAAGACTCACACAGACAGAGAGACAGGGACATGGACCTCTAGTCCCTGGTAAGAAGTCCTTTATTCAACAGCACCATGGAGGCTTCTATACCCAACAGTCGGGTGGGCCAACAGGTGAAAACCTCATCCTCTGATCCTCAAGGCCAAGGCAACAGTGCTCGTGAAGCAGAGCTGGTAAACAACTTTGACACAGCTTTCAGTAACTCAAATCAGAAGGAAAGTAAAGATCTCTAGCAGGGAAGAGCAGCTGGAGGCCAGGACTCCAAATGGTCCCAACAGGGTTCTTACACCCCCTCCTGGCTTCTGTGGGCCCCTGTGCACACCTGGTACACCTGCACAGATACACACACATACATATATTTATTTGATTTTTGATTCTTGAGACAGGGTTTCTCTGTGTAATCGCCCTGGCTGTCCTGAAACTCACTCTGTACAACAAGCTGGCCTTGGTCTCACCGAGATCCACTCTGCCTCTCGAGTGCTGGGATTAAAGGCACGCAACACCACCACTTACTTTTTTAAATAAAGAGCTAAAAGACACCCAAAAGCATGGGTGTGGCTACGGGCCTCCAAGGAAGTGACATTGGAAGTGAGATGTCCCCAAGTGTGGTATGGGCAGTTCCAGAGAGAGTAGCAATTCATTGTCTTAGTAGCAGAAATGAGAACAGCACAGCTGGGCAGGAAAGAGAAAGGGGGGAGCAGGGAGGAGCGGGCGGGGAGGGGGGAGGGAGGTTATCTCAGATGGAGACAGCCAGACTGCTGTCTAACTAGCAGGAGGCTTCCCAGTGACCTCTATACTGACAGGAACGCAGACATGGGACCCACAGCCTGTAAAGTCTCCCCCAAAGCTGTACATTTCTCCCAGAACCAGACTTTTAAAAGGGCCTGAGTCACCGAGGTAATAATGATGGCTGCCTGCCCGCCACCCTGCTTTCCTCACTTTCCGGTTCCTCCTTGAAACTTCTTAGCCGATCCCCCCTCCACCCCTCCCCACGATCTGTCTCTCCCGCCTCACCCCACACCCATCCAACTCAGCCAAACAGGAATCTCTGAACTCAATCCCTAATTTAACTACAGGCCCAAGCCAATTAGGCTCAGGTCCTGTGGGCAGGGGCAGGGGGATGAGGACAGGTGAGGGGAATGGGGGGAAGCGTGGACCACGAGGTCGGGCTGGCAACACGCCTTCAAGTCCTTTCAAGTCTTTTTCCCTGTGGGAAGCTGGTTTCCAATTCAATACAACCTTGCTTGCTTTTTACTGTCCTAGCTCATCTGGGGATCCACAGACCTGAGAGCGTCTGGCTTGGAGAGACTTGAATGGTCCTTGGACTTCTGGGACCCTTGTTCTCTGGGCTAAGCCCATCTGAGCCAGGTAATAGGTTCCATTGTTCTGCTCTCGGGGATCACAGAAACAAACATTAGTGTTATCTACGTACGTTTCTCTCTCATGACGAATGAGATTGTGGGGTGTCTGTGGAGAGGCCTTGGCTGGGGCTACCACAAGTGAGGTAAGCCGAGAGCCAGGGTTGCACAAGTATGTGCTCCTTCCCTGAAAATAGGGTTCCTGGAGAGATTCCTAGGTTTAAATTGTAGGTTCATAACTGGTAAAGGCAGAAAAGTGAGGGGCTCCTTTAGGTCCCCACAATTTTTCTTGTCTTTCTATCCTGCCTCAGAGATGTGCTGCATTACTGGGTCTGGTTAGACATGCATGAGGTACCCACAAACCAAAAGAAATGAAATTTCTTTCAGCATTGAGTGCAGTTCCTGGGGTCCATCCTTTCAAATCCTGCTAGAATACATATTGTAATATTAAGTTGGGGGCATCACCCCAGCCCCTGGCAGTCATCCTTGGGGTGCCAATGGAGCGAGGAGCTCCATCTCAGGCCCCCTCCCCCAGAAGTTGCCTTGGGCCAGACTCCACCTCTGGACTCCCAACTCCCAGCCTGCCAAGCGCTGACCACGCCCACAGGGTATTTAGGCTGCTGCCCAGGGCTGGAACACGTGTTTTAGGTTTTGCTTGTGCTCTCCCACTGTCTTCCCTCTGCCATGCTCCTGGCCACCCGAGAGTGCGGCATTCCTTAAATGTGGGCATTTTTTATTTGGTCTAATCTTGTTTGATTGGAGCTTTTTGCACCAGCGGAGAGGCTCTCCTTAAGATTTTTCCTAACAGATAGAGGCGGGGTTCACCCTTTCAAATCCTGCTAGAATACATATGAAGCTCTCTGACTTTATAGAAAGGCGGGATGATAGCTCCAGGGTCGGATACAAAAGAAGATGAGTATGGGGGACATATTCACCCCAAAGGCCAGTTGCTCCAGCAGAAACGTTAGGAGACATGATAAACATGCCTCTCCTGCCCAAGTCTCTGCAGTCGAAGGAGGTTCAGGGGTGAGGGGGATGGTTTAGCCGGTCATAGGCACTTGCTGTACATGCCTGGCAAACTGAGTTGATCATTGGAACCCACATCAAAGTGGAGAGAACTCACTCCACAGAGTCGTCTTCTGGCCTTGGTCTTCACACTGTGGCCTATGCCCCACCCACACGGACGCTACTAGATCTGAATAGTGAGCACACTGTGTCAAGGTGGGGTGAGACAGCTTCACTCCACACTGCCCTTCGGAGACCCAGACTGATGACGGTCTTCCAAGTGTGCATTCCAAAGTCACCTTGAACTTGACCCTGAGAAGACAGAAAGGAGAAGACAGAAGGCAAACCTGCTTGTTGACCACCTCAGATCAGAAGGGGTGTGCAACCTTGCCAGTGGCTACGTTTGGGTGCAAGGGACTCTAGAAGATATATATGTGTAAATATATATGTTTATATGTGCAGGTGCACGCACACACACACACATTGGGAAGAGGGCAGTCTCCAGCCAAATGCAGAGGAAGCAGGAGATGAACACACTGTGCTGCAAAAAGGTACTGCCACATGGTAGAGCATAGATAGGAAATATGGGTTAATTCAAGTTGAAAGAGCTAGTAAGTAACAAGCCTAAGCTATTGGCTGAGCATTTATAATTAATAAGAAGTCTCTGTGTTTATTTGGAGAGCCACCAGTCCTGACCCCCCCCCCAAAAAAAAACAACTCTAAACAAATACATTTAAAGGAAGACAAAAGAAAAGTCTAAGCACTTGAAGACAGACACCGGCATCTGTCTGTCTGGGGAGGCAGAGCTTAAAGACAAACACTAGCCTCTGTGGGGAGGCAGAACTCGAAGACAG